GGCTCGGCAGCTCCGGGCGGGGGAAGGGGCGGGAGCGGCGGCGGGGGCAGCCCCGCAGCCCCGGCGGGCGGACGGAGCCGGGAGCCGCTGCGGCAGCGCCGGAGCCCCGAGCCCGCAGCATCCTCCGTGAGTAGCGCCGGCTGAGGGTCGGGTGTAGGAACCGCTCTTGAATGGGGATAATTGTAACCTTTCTGCCCCAAAGCTCTGTTCCTTTCTGCCCCAAAGCTCTGTTCCTTTCCGTTCCCAGCCGCGGTTGCAGCGCGGTTGCTCCGGGTTTGTGTGCGAGGCACTGTGGATGTACCACGGGAAACGCGAGTTCTTTATGGGTACCGCCAAACCAGAAAGAAATGGAGAGCAGATGTCGTCGCACGTTTTTTCTGTTCAGCTGGTGCTTGAGCAGTTGTTCCATTAATTGGGAGCCGTAAGGGACGGGACTGGGGCTGCTCTGGCGCGGCTGTTGAAAGCTCATTCCATCGCCGGCGGTGTCCTTTCATCGCTGGGGACGCTGAATCTCTTGTCCTGACTTATTCAACCCTGGCACTATAAATATGGGTTTGTGGGTGGTTATTTGTTTGTGGTTTTGGGTTTTTTGTTTTTTTGGGGTTTTTTTTCCTATACTTTTTTTCTCCTATCTGCTGAGCAGCGTGCTGGAAAGAGCTGGCAGAGTAATGTTTAACAGGAAAAGAACTCAAAAGCTAAGAGCATTGTGTTACAGTTCACTGAGTGTCTCCAGCACAGAACAAAACTACACTGCTTGCATTATTTGGGAACACACTGAAGCTGCTGACAGGTTTAAACGGTGATTTCTGGTTTTTCCTGGTAATTAATGCATTTAATGCCCCAGGAAGTCCTTGCTAAAGGAAGCGTAGCTTTTTGTAAACAGCTTTCACTGATGAGATGCATTGTGCTGGGTGGCAGGAGGGGTTGATTTAGTGATTACAAACCAGGAGACAAAGGCAGAGCAGAGACCAGTGACTTCAGGGTCTGACAGAGTTATTGTCCCTCTGTGGGTGCCACACTGGGGCACTGAGGGTTTGCCAAGGGGTTCTGGTGGAGAACAGGCTGCAAGTGTGAGGGGTCAGCTGCTGCGTGTGTCTTCAGGGCTCCGCAGAGGGAAGGTGCCTCACTGATTCAACAGCTGGCATAGGCAAGAAATCCTGGGACTGCCTCTGTGCTGCTGTGTGCAGTGAGAGGAGCTGCATTTCTGTGTGGATCCCTCGGACCGTGTACAGAATTCTTTACATATAGAATCACGGAATATGTTTGGTTTGAAAAACCCTTAAAGCCGCCCCAGTGCCAGCCCTGCCATGGCAGGGACACCTTCCACAGCCCCAGGCAGCTCCAAGCCCCAGTGTCCAGCCTGGCCTTGGGCACTGCCAGGGATCCAGGGGCAGCCACAGCTGCTCTGGGCACCTGTGCCAAGGCTGTATCACCCTCACAGGGAAAAAGTTTTTCCCAAAATCCCATCTAACCCTGCCTCTGGCAGTGGGAAGCCATTCCCCCTTGTGCTGCCTGCATAAAAAGCCCATCTCCCTCCTTTTTAGAAGACCCTTTAACTACTGGCTTTAAAGAAAATCTAATTGGGCAATGTGCAGTTCACAGTCTGGTTTAGACACTGCTCCTGAGCGAGTCAGTGACAAAAATCTACCAAGTTTATATTTCCAGGCATGGCTTTAGAAATGAGGGTGTTCCTTTTGGGGGTCCTGTTGTTACTTCTTGTCTACCTGTGGGAGCTGAGGGGTTTTAGTTCCTCTCATGATCTAAACCAGGCAGGTAAAATTACTGAGGGGTTTTTAGTTGCTGCTGCTACTGCCCAGAGCTGCCTGCAGTTTGTGCCACTGTCTCTGTCTTGGCAAGGCAATGAACTGCTTTTAATGTGTTTTAGCAGCAGCTCAACCTGGGCAGCTCATGCCAGAACCTGAGAAAATGCTTATGTAAAGGTGCTGCCCTGACATGGGGACACTCAGGCTCACACAGGGAGGGTTGTTTGCCTCAGGCCACTTTGAACTTGGGCTTTTCATTCCTCCTTCCTCCCTCTTTGGAGCCTCACAAGGTAAACCCAGGCACGTTCAGGTCTCACTGAAGGACGTTGTGTTTTTATTACTCCCTGAAATCACAGCTTGCCTCGATCCCTGGCGGTGTTCCCGGGGTGCTGGGAAGCTGAGGGCTGGAACAACCCAGCTCCATGCAAACCCCACCTTTCCCCAGGTGAAAGCACTGCATCTGTGTCCTCCCAACCAGCACCTGCCTTCCCTGGCAGGGAGCTGCCTCTCCAAGTCCAGCCACCCTGGAAAAACCCTCAAACAATCCCCTCTGTTCCCTGTGGCCCCTGTGCTGCCATTGCCAGGTGCTGCTGACAGGTGAGCCCTGAGCCTCATCTCCTCACAAACAAACCCAGCCCAGCAGGGCCCCTCAGCTCAGTCCAGAAGGGAGGCTTTGCAAAAGGGGGCACTGCTCCCACTTGCCAGAACAACCTATCCCCTGTATCTGCCAAGGTGTTTGAAATGGAAACGTGCCCAAAACTGAACTTTATGGAAACATTTCCAGCTCCATAACGTGGGGATGCAAAAATAACCAGCAGTGTGGAGAGTGAGGGTGAATGAGAGGCTCTGAGAGCACAGGCAGGTGTGTGTGCACAGGGGGAAGTGCAGCCCTGTGTCATGGACAAAGAATGTCCTGTGATTATTGTATCAAAGTCCACTTCTTCTCCCCTGCTGAATGGCTTTTATCCAGCACTACTGATTTTCCAAACGTTTTTTTTTTTAATAGAGTAGGGTCCAGGCTGAAAATCAGTAGGTTCCCATGGATTTTGCTGGGCTTTGCTGGGTCTTTCTTGGAGCAGAGGCTTGGTCAGGTGTAACCTGCTGATTTCACGGGGCAGGAATGGAGCTGGGACTCCAGGTAAGAGCAGGACTGGCACCTTCCACCCTGGCTGGAGACACAGACCTTGCAGCTCTTGACTTGCTACACAAAGCAGAGAAATCCCAACCTGCTGCAGCTTTCAAACTGCACCTCAGATTGGTGCAGCCTGCTGGATAAATTAATCCCTTTCGTAAACAGGTGGTTTCACTACGACAATAAAAATTCTTTGGGTCTGGGTGACTCATGCACAAACAGCTCCCCATTGCCAAGGTGGTTTGACCCAGAGGAAAGGTAGGAAGGATGAATATTTCATGGTTTAATATTAAAATATTCAGCCTTATTTATTTGGAGTTTTTATTTTGGTAGCCAGAGGAAGGAAAAAAAAGGCTTCTGTAGGTCTGGCATTTGCAGTGCCTGAGTCAAGAGCCACAAGGTGAGAGCTGGATGTGGCTTTTCCTGAATTATGCCCACAGTCAGAACACTTGATCAGCTCTTCATGAAGAGTCTCTTGAGCCTCTGCTGCCACTGGTTAAACCATTTTCCATATGGGAGGATGGGTGAGGAGACAGGAACAGCTGTCCCTGAGCTCTGGTGCCTCTCAGGTCCCTCTGAGGTGTGTGTGAGCCCTGTGCTGGACAATAGGGCTGGGGAGAGTCTGAACACAAAATAATTCAGCTGATGCTCATGCTGCTGAATTAACTTGGCCTTGGCTAAACAAAGGAATCATTCACTCACAGGAGAATGACCCAGTTACAGGCTTGTGGCAAAGTTATTTTGGTTTTTAGATTAAAAGAAGAAAACCAAACTTTTAACTTGAGAGGATTGGAGTATTTGAAGAGTGGTCCTTGCAGTTCTGATCCTGCATCCCAGTCAGACACCAGCCACTTCCCCTCCTGCTGCTTCCTGATCCCTCTCATTCCTCACTGACCAGCTTTGCAGGTTTTTAATTGGTATTAATTTTTATTACCAACTGATTTTCATTGAATTATTTCTGGCTATTGTTTATCTTGTGTACAATTAAAGCTACCATGCCACACAATATCCCAGGGGAGCACCAGAGTCCTGCCTGGCTGTGCTGAGCAGCATCTGAAGTGGGAAACTCAGTTCCATATCAAGTGCTGAAGGATAATTTACTTTTCAAGGGGCAGTTGGAGTGTCTCAGCTCTGGGACTGGGAGCTGAGCTGGTTCCAGAGGGCTCTTTGAAGTGGTGCTCACACCCTTCTCGGGCTGAAGGAGCCCTTTAATGGCTCGGGTTTCCAGGGACACTTGGAAAACCCTTTTAAAACCAGCAAACATCCCGGCTGCTCTTTCCAGATCCACAGTTTTACCCACCAAAACACAGGCATGTTTTCAGCTGTGCCCTTGGAAGCTCATCCCCTTCCAATAACAGACCTGAGCTGACACTGGGCTGAACTCACAGCCTCCTGCCTCAGCCACGTTGCAATGTTCAGGGGCATTCAGGTGTTTGTCCTGACACTTTTGGGGCTCCAAGTGAAGGGTTAAATGGTTTTTCTTTTCCATGTTAGATGAATGAAGCTCCTTTAAATTCTATTTTATAATGGAGTTTTTAAACCTTTCTGTGGTCAGTTTTTCCCCTTCCCTCAAGACGTTGCTGAATTCTGCAGAATCCTTCACACTCATTTGCTCAGTGATCTGAATCTCAACCAGAGGTGATAATCTAAATTCCCAAAGCATTTAAAACACCTTATTGTGTTTATATCTTATTTTATCCTATTAACACTGGCCAGGGGGTACTTTAGGCAAATTGCTCAAGATTGTACCAAAGTTTCCATCATACCATGAACCAATTTCCATTCCTTCAGCAGGGCCAGGTTTCCACCACAATGAAAATATGAAGAACCCCAGTTCAGTGAGCCTGCACTTGGCATTTATCCTATTAACACTGGCCAGGGGGTACTTTAGGCAAATTGCTCAAGATTGTACCAAAGTTTCCATCATACCAACTTCCAATTTCCATTCCTTCAGCAGGGCTGAAAATCCACCACAATGAAAATATGAAGAACCCCAGTTCAGTGAGCCTGCACTTGGCAGGCTCTGAGCCTTTGGTGGGCAGTTGCCTCATTAGCACTGTGAAATTTGTTAAGATTTTGGGAATTCACTCCTCTTTTTCCCCTCTGCAGCCAACTCAAGATGACGACGGCCACACCACTGACCAATAACACTCAGCTCTCAGTGAATGTGACCACAAAGTCTCAAGAACAAAATCTCTATCAAAGTAAGGAAAGGAGTGGGGTGGTGGCTTTTTTTGGTTTTAAGAGGACTTTGAACTTATCAAACTTCAAACACTACAGTGACAACTTTGTAAATATGGGGTTTTTTTCCCTTCCTGCTTCTCTCCCAGGTTCTGGAGCAATAGTTGCTGCCATTGTGGTGGGGGTGATTATTATTTTCACAGTGGTGCTGCTCATCCTGAAAACATACAACAGGTACGTGACCAAGTCAAACAGGATGGACCAAAGACCCTGCTCTCAGCTAACAGAGCATTTCAGGGCTTGTTGCTGAAAATTTCCAGGAGATTAAGCACTGAAGTGCTGATTGCAGTGCACTGAATCTCCCTGTCAGTGCTCTGTGGTTGGACCTTAGGAAGCACAAAGAGCTCCTTGATGGAGGCTTTGTGGTGGGAGCTCTTTTTAGGGATTCCTGGTGATGCAGGGAAGGTCTGGGTGTGCACCAAGGCTGCCAGAGGGCGAGTTTGATTCCTCAATTCTCAGAGCTCACATGCTCTGGGAGAACTTTTGGTATCTCTGGGATGAAATCCCGGCTTGGCAGGACTGGGCTGTGTGGGAACCTCCCCAAAACTTCCCCTGGGAGAGGAGAGACCACCCCAGGTGCCAAGTGCCCTTTTACCTTTGCCAGGCGCATGCGAGTGCGGCGGGAGCTGCAACCCAAAGCCTCCAAGCTGGCAGTGCCACCTCCTGTGGGGCACAGCAGCCACAGCCTGGCCCAGCAGCCCTCGGTGACCTTCATCCCTGTGGACATCCACCTGCAGAGCAGGTAGCCAGGAACTCCTGCCAGAGAAGAGATGGAATTGTTATCCCATGGAGCTGGGACTCCTCAGCAGAGCTGCACTGGGAGCAGCAAGCAGATGTTTTTCCTTCTGTAAACTGATAGAAATCCTGGTTTCTTGATTTGGGAGGAAAAACCAGAGGTCTGGACACTTTTCCTGTGACTGAAATGACAGGTGGAGGTGTAGGAATCATCAGGATGGCAGCCAGGCCTCCTCTGGGTCTGGATGAACCAGGAAGAGAAGATGCCCAGGTTTTGGGGAGCTTCTGCTTCCTCAGAGACTCTGAACCCTCTCTGTTCTGCTGATGAACTGGAGGAAAAGTCTGGACATGCCCCAAGCTCAGTTTGGACCTGAGTTACATTCAAGAGGTTTGTGGCTTTTTTTATACCTGATGGGTACTACAGGAGGTATCAAAATTGTATTTATCTTTATTCATATTTCATGTTTCTAATCTCACATATGTACAAGTTGAGGGGGAAAAAGTTACTTCTTATTTTCAAGTATTTTTAAACTACTTCTGTAAACTCTGTAAGTGTCCCTTTAGGCCTCCTCTGGGTCTGGATGAACCAGGAAGAGAAGATGCCCAGGTTTTGGGGAGCTTTTGCTTCCTCAGAGACTCTGAACCCTCTCTGTTCTGCTGATGAACTGGAGGAAAAGTCTGGACATGCCGCAAGCTCAGTTTGGACCTGAGTCACATTCAAGAGGTTTGTGGCTTTTTTTTATACCTGATGGGTAGTACAGGAGGTATCAAAATTGTATTTATCTTTATTCATATTTCATGTTTCTAATCTCACATATGTACAAGTTGAGGGGGAAAAAAAGTTACTTCTTATTTTCAAGTATTTTTAAACTACTTCTGTAAACTCTGTAAGTGTCCCTTTCTGAAGGAACTCGCTGTCTGAGGGGTTTCACTCTCAGCTCAGGTTCATGGCTGAATGTGTTAGAATGCTTTGTCTTACACAAAATCTGAGCTCTTGAACTGAAAAATACAAGCATGGAAATAGAAAAAAACCAGCTTGGACACAGCAAGGGAGGCTCTGAGCAGCCCCAGTGTGCCACTCACCCTGCAAGGCTTTGTTCCCTGGTGCACCACAACTATTTTTAGCCATTTTTTATCCTCAAAACCAACCCAAAGCGAGGTTGTTTTGTGAGTGTGAGGGCTGGGGGTGAGCAGCAGTGGCACAAAGGAATTCCCAGGGACACTCTCAGCCCACGGGGTGGGAACAGAGCACCATTGTCACACACTGACTGCCAGATTGTCTGAGATTTTATACTTTGTATTTTTTTCCAATAAGCTTGGATCTCTTGAGCAGGTCAGTTTAACTAACTGGTAATTTTTATTGTGCAGAAACTAAATTCAATTAGTTTGCAATATTCTTTTTTGGCTGAAACTGGTGCACGGTTTGGATTCCAAACCAAATATTGAGACAGCTGTTTGTGAAGTTTCTGAATCTCCTTGTAAATACTTCTCTCATCTTGGTTCTGTACCTCATTTTTTGTGGCAGGGAGGATTGATTTAATAATTCAGAAGGGACAGCAGATGCACATCTAATTTCTTTTTTTTTCCAAAAAAATAGAAAGAAACTGATTTTCTGTTTCTATCTCTGGATGTTCTCTGAGCAGTTCCATGGGATCAAAATCAAGATTTTTGGGGAAGATAAGCCCATCCTACTGTTGTTTTTTTTAAACATCATAGCAAGTTTTTTACTCATAGCAAATTTATTTTTTTTTTTTAACTTTCCATTTGCTTCATTTCAAGCCAACAGAGTTCACAAGCAGAATAAGCAGAGCTACTGCAGTTCCAGGTTCACAGAATTCCTATTGCTGGCAGCAGAATTGGCTGCTGGGACCACACCAGCATTGCTCCAGCTGAAAAATTCAAATACCACTAAAACCTGCATCACATTGGCACCTCCTGGGAGGCCCCACAACCCCTCCTGGCAGCAAAACCACCTCCTCAAGGAACAAAAATCCCTGCTCTGGGGCATTTCCTGTGGATTTGTGCTTTCCAGGAACAATCCCACACTCTCCCTGCCCTGGTAAGAGCAGCTGCCTCAGGGCTGATCCAGCCTGTCCTGATTTGGCCCCCAAGTTCCACTTGCAAAGAGACAGATTTTGGGAGTGCTCCCCTGCAGCTGGCCCTGTCTTACAAAACTCAGTGGTTGGTTTTTTCCTCCTGAAAGCTCTGCAGGACCTTCAGCAGGTCAGATCCTCCAGGTGGAATTTCACTGATCCAGATACTTTGGTAAAATGTTTAGTTTTTCACTGCTGGGTAAATCCTGACCCCAAAACTCAGCTTTCCCCCCTTATTTCCATCCTCCTAATCCCAGCAGAGAGCACGGAGCTCCACCTAGTGTCCTCCTGCCTTCCCACGGGTTCGAACTCCTGTTCCTCAACAAAAACATGAAGCAATTCCAGCTTCAGCTGCCACCTTTACTAAACTTCCCCATCCACAGCGCCAGGGCTGTTGAGCAGCTGAGTCAAACTGTCCCAAATTTGCCCGTGCAAGACCCAGATTATTACAAGTCTAAGCAGATAAATATGGTAATTTCCCTTGGGTTTTATTCCTGAGCCACATAACTAATTTATTTCTCAAAAATGTTTCCAAAATTCAGCCCAGAAGGAGCCACACAGGTCAGTGACCAACACCAGTCACTCCAGTTTGGCCCGAGTGGGATGGGGTGGAGAGCTCATGACTTCTCCTGAGGACCAGAAAGGCAGGGAGCTGCTGGAGAGCTCCTTGGAGGCCACAAAGATGATTTGGGGTCTGGAGCATCTCCCTGATGAGGAGAGACTGCAGGAGCTGGGCCTGCTTATTCTAGAGGAGGGAAGGCTGAGAAGGCATCCCATAAACCCATTAAATATTCCCAAGGGTGTCAGAGGATGGTGCCAGGCTCTGTTCTATGGTGCCCAGTGACAGGATGAGGAGCAATGGCCATAAAATAAAACAAAACACAACGAGTTACACCTCAACATGAGGACTTCGTTCCACGAGGGTGGCAGAGCCCTGGAACAGCTGCCCAGGGAGGGCTGGAGCCTCCCTCTGTGGGGACATCCCAAACCCACCCGGACGTGTCCCTGTGCCACCTGCTCCAGGTGCCCCTGCCTGGGCAGGGGGTTGAACTGGACGATCTCCAGAGGTCCCTCCAACCCCAACTCCTCTGGGATTCTGTGACCTCTTCAGAGCCCTGCCTTGCGCCCAGGGACGTCTGTGACGCCGGGAAGGAGCCGAGGGGCCGTTGCCGAGGGGTCGCTACCGGGGCTGAGGGGGCTGTGCCCTCACGGCCGCGGCTCCCTCAGCGATGGCGGCAGGGCCGGGCGGTCCGTGAGGGCACCGGAGATCTCGCGAGACACCGCCATCGGCAATAGACGCGGGGGCCAACATCTCGCGAGAGCACGACTCACTAACACCCGCGCACTCCGGAGCGGCCGCGCTCTCTCATTGGCCCGGCTCCCGCGCGCGCGCCGACCCTCCGCCAATCAACAGGCTGCAGGGGCAAAACGCTGCGCGGCGCGCGCCTGGCCCCGCCCACGCCCTCGCGCCCCTCCCGCCTTCCCTCCCTCCCGCCCCCT